AAGGTTCAATGTAATTACCGTTAATCCGTTCTGGCGTCCACGGACCACGCGTCAGGGGCGGAAAAACGGCCGCTGACCACGCGGCAGGGCAGAAAAAATGGCCGCGGACCACGTGTCAGGGGCGGAAAAACGGCCGCGGACCACGTGGAATGGGTGGAAAAATGGCCGTGGACCACGTGGAACGGGCGGAAAATGGCCGCGGACCACGTGGCACGGGCGGAAAAATGGCCGTGGACCACGTGGAATGGGCGGAAGATGGCCGCAGACCCCGTGGAACGGGCGGAAAATGGCCGCGGACCACGTGGCACGGGCGGAAAAATGGCCGTGGACCACGTGGAATGGGCGGAAGATGGCCGCAGACCCCGTGGAACGGGCGGAAAATGGCCGCGGACCACGTGGCACGGGCGGAAAAATGGCCGTGGACCACGTGGAATGGGCGGAAGATGGCCGCAGACCACGTGGAACGGGCGGAAAATGGCTCGTAAGTCGAGGCTAATTCATAAGTAGAGGTAAATTTTTGGGGCCGGAGCTGATCGTATCTCAAAAATTTCATAAGTAGGGGCATTCGTAAGTAGAGGTACCACTGTATTTTCTTTCAGTTATGAAACTTCCTTGAGTAATCTTACACAACTCACTTTTTCCCTGTGCCTGATAGGATTGATGTGTAGCTAAAACCTATGCCTAATATATAAAATATTCAGGTATGTAAAATAGACCTATGTATAGCAATTATGCTTTGCCTTGATAAAGCATTTCACGTCACAAAGCTACATGATTTTTCTCACTGAGACAAGGAAGCAATGCACTTTTCATTGAGAAGCTTTTGGTTGGGTTGGCATGGCGAGCTAAACATGTCTCCATGGATTGCAGAGACAATGACCATGGCAAAGACTGAAGAAACGATGTAGACCAGTTCTTCAGAACCTCTCTGGAGAAAGAGAGGATGGGGGATCACTCACATGTACATGATAGTGGAATCAGAAATATTGGATAAAAAAAAGGATGGATTACAAAACAGACAAGGCATCTAAATTAGAAATACAAGTAACAGGAAAAAGTGTGGATTACAAGATGGAGAAGACAGTTGAAGTCGAGTCACAAATGAAAAGCCAAGAGAATGGCCCTGATATGGACTTTTTACTGGATATACAAAAGCTGGTTGAAGCTTTGAAAATCAAAGGGAAAATACAAATGACGAACCAAAACAATGACCTGGATAATGACTTTGTACTGGATTTACAAAACAGATCTGCTAAAGCCTCAAAGAAGCCTCTCTGATGGGAAAAAGAAAAATTGAAGAGAGACCAAATCCTACGACAACATCTGAATTAAAGATCAAGATTGTTATTCCTCCTACTAGTGAGCCAACACGCTTTGCATTAAAAACATATTGCCAAATATTGGAGTGCATTTTACGCTTTGTAGTTATGAAATCCAGAAAGTTAATTGTAGTCTAAATTAAAAAGCCAACTACCTTAATCTCATGAACTGTAAATTCGGCCAAAGTGCAGCCTAAGACAGCAGAGTTATCTTTCCAGTCTGGTCTTCTGAAAGAGAAAATAAAAAGGCTGGGACTTGGAGCTACAACTGAAAGTAGATCTGGATGGTGGTGAAACTGGGTAGATTATTCAACTTCAAATTGCTTCATTTTAACTGTATTTGTAACACTATTCCATTGGCAAAATAGGCTATGTGGGTGAGAAATCAGGAAGATGCAAGTACAGGTAGTCCTTACTTAACAACCGTTCATTTAATGATGGTTTGAAGTTACAATGGCCTCAGAAAGGGTGCTTTAGGGCTTGAAAGCACTTCTGGCCACGTGGTCATGTGGCCCTGTTTCAGGCGCTTGGCAACTGGCTTGCATTTATGACTGGTTGCCAAGCACCCCATGATCACGTAATTACCGTTTGCAATCTTCTCTGCTGGCTTCCCCAATGGAAGCCGGTAGGGAAGGTTGCAAGCAGAGGGGACACAGCAGTGTGCAGGAATGGAGCTCATATCCTGAAGATTTGAGCTCTGTTACTCCAGCCCCAGAAAGAATTTCCCCTCCATCTGCGGAGAGAAGGGCAAACCCTTCGGCGGGCTTTAGGAATATTTGAGAGCGAAAAGGCTGCCTGCTGGGAGGATTTCAGCTCTGCGCTGAGTTGAAATCCTTCAGTAGACAGCTCTTTTGCTCCGTTCACTAAACGGCCCAGGAGATTACTTAATGACTGCAACCGGGAGTGCCTGGATTGCAGTTGTTGAGCGAAGTAGTCATGTGGGCATCTCACTTAATGACCAGTTTGCTCAGCGACTGAGATTCCAGTCCCAATTGTGGTTGTTAGGTGAGAACTACCTGTATAAATTATAATTTAAAACAATGAGAAGTCTTTTCCTCCATGTGACACTTCTATATTTTTGAGGGAAAAAAAGCTCATTAGGATTTTAGTATGTTCCATTTACACAGCTTTTGGTACTTATAGCACTCTTTAACCCCAGTTATCATCTCTAGTCTTGAACAGAACCCTATGCAATTAAAGTTCTTTTTTTTCATGCTAATACACATGGCATCTTCATCTGAAGCCCTTCTGAAAAAGCCCAAGTAGGTAATTTTAGAACCTCTTGTCTAGGTGCTCAGAAGCTAGCTGAAAAATTAGCTATTGTGGCAAGGCAATAAAAAGTCCATTGATTACATTGACCACCAGGAAGCAAGACATGACCAGCTTTGTCCTTATTAGGAATAGTCGTACATACATAGCCAGAGCTTATTCTATTGGCTTCAAAACCTCTCTTGGGAATTGAACTCATCAGCTTGCAGTTTTAGATGACTATATACAGTGCATTAGCTTTAGGAACTATCCGGGCCCTGATAGGTATTACAGGAAGGGATACTGTACATAGAATCTATCTGAATGTTATACAGGTAGTCCTTGCTTAATGGCAGTTTGTTTAACAATGGTTTGAAGTTATGACGGCCTCAGAAAAAGTACTTTATGACCTGTGCTCACACTTATGACCATTGCAAACTGTTGCATCCCCCCTACGGTCATGTGATTGCAATTTGTGACCTTTTTTTACAATGATCATTAAGCGAATCACCACAGTCATTCAATGAATCACATGGTCATTAAGTGAATTCTAGCAAAAAATATCCATTGGGGAAACTCGATTTGCTTAATGACCATGTGATTTGCTTAACAACTGCAGTGATTCGCTTAACATCTGTCGTAAAAATGGTTGTAAAATCAGGTGCAGTCATGTAGTGACTTGCTTAACAACCGCCCCACTTAATGACCAATTTTCCAGTCCCTATTGTGGTCCTTAAGCGAGGACTACCTGTATATATGCATCTTTTCCTTAAGCTTTCAGATAAAGAGATGTACAGATGTTACATAATTCATAGCCCTGGATACGAGGTTTTACAGTCTTACTTCAACTGGTAATAACACTTTACATTTTGCTTTTCCCCCCCTTCTTCCATTTTCAGCATAGAGGAAGACATCTTCACAGCAGAATATCCAGTGCAGTACCTGATGGTCTGGAACGACAACCTCTTAGAGACCAAACTGTCCTAATAGATCAATTTTCAAGGCCCAACACGACTCATACATTCCGGGTAGGTCTGAAAGTTTGTAAACATGGGACGAGAGCCAGGTTGGTGTAGTGGCTAATGTATCAGGAGACTATGAGTTCTAGTTCCACTTTAGGCACAAAGCCAGCTGGGTGACCTTGGGCCAGTCACTCTCTCTCAGCCCTAGGAAGTAGGCATTGGCAAACCACTTCTGAAAATCTTGCCAAGAAAACTGCAGGGACTAGTCCAGGCAGTTGCCAGGAGTCAACACTGACTCAAAGGCACAAGAAGAAGGAGGAGGAGGAGGAGGAGTGGGGTGGGATGAGAAACTGGAGGTAGATAATGGACTACAAATATGCACATTTCAGCATGTGCATGTGATCCCCTTCTATCGTTCTCTCCCACATGACTGGGACTTGCCAGTTATTCACTTAATTTTCTCCTAATCTTAGTTTGTCATTGTGTATTAACCCTTGATTGCAGTTTATAAAGGGTTCACAAAGCATATTAATAAACTATGGTTAATCGTGGTTTATGATAAACCATAAGCCCTGGATTGTAAGCAGTGGCAGTCAAGATGTTATGGTTTACTATTA